CTCTCTCTCTCTCTCTCTCTCTCTCTCTCTCTCTCTCTCTCTCTCTCTCTCTCTCTCTCTCTCTAGGTTCTAGCACATGATCAAATTGTAACATGAAGTAGCCCCAAGGGGGGAGAAAATACAAGGGTGTTCGGCTGCTCAGTGGTGTCTCTCTTGTCCTCTTCAAGAAGATGAATAGGATAAAGATTCACATAGGCCTTCTTGTAATCAGGCTTAGCATACACTATTCCACCCCTTTGCTTTTTCAGTTGTCCTACCTACCATAACATTGGAGACTTCAAAGCCATATAGTACTTCCAAACCTCTTAATCTCAATCCACATAATAAAATGAAAAAGAACTCCATTTAATGACAAACACTAATTAAGTCCAATAGTATTAATCATAGTATTATATGTGAGGATAATAGGTGCAGTTTATGCATTAATCAAATTTTATGCAAAAGAAACTGGAATAAGCGCATCCAGATAAAACCCATCTTACAGTTAAGAAGTGAGGAGAGAGCTAAATAGAAATTTTGATATCCACTTGATAGGCAGAGAGAGAACATTGAAAGCAATGACTTCCATAGTGAAACACGACATCAAGTTTGAGAATTTTTTTGTGGTGTGGTGGGGAGGGGTTATAAATGTATAAAGAGTACATTTAAAGCAGAAAGAATGTTTTTTTATGACAATCTCTTTGATGGTTTGGAGAGAGGAAGGCATCAAAAGTTTGATGGGAAGGTTCTCAAAGTGTATAACACTTCCCCAATCTCCCGCTCATCTCTTCTTCTCTGACATTTTGTTTATCTCCTCCCTCTACCGATAGCCAAGAAGTAAAACCACACTAACCTCTTCCAACCTATGAGACCAGAATGTGCCTCAATAAACCCTGAGAGATCAAACCTGGGGGGGAATAGGCTTTTGCTTTGACGTGAGAAAGCATGAGAAATGTGGATTGAGCATGGTAGAGCATGGGATGTATGCGAGAGAGAGAGAGAGAGAGAGAGAGAGAGAGAGAGAGAGAGAGAG